TTTTTGTATCCGAGTGGCCAGAATTTTATTGAGGATTTTTGCATCTAGGTTCATTAGAGATATTGGTCTGTAGTTTTCTTTCTTTGAAGTGTCTTTGTCTGGTTTAGGTATCAGGGTGATGTTGGCCTCGTAGAATGAATTTGGAAGTTCTCCCTCTTTTTCTATTTCCCGAAGTAGCTTGAAAAGTATTGGTATTAGTTCCTCTTTAAAGGTTTTGTAAAACTCTGCTGTATACCCATCCGGTCCTGGGCTTTTCTTAGTTGGTAGTCTTTTGATGGTTTCTTCTATTTCCTCAATTGATATTGGTCTGTTTAGGTTGTCTATATCCTCCTGACTCAATCTGGGCAGATCATATGACTTAAGAAATTTATCTATGCCTTCACTATCTTCTAATTTATTGGAGTATAAGGATTCAAAATAATTTTTGATTATCTTCTGTATTTCTGAAGTGTCTGTTGTGATATTGCCTCTTTCATCCCGTATGTTAGTAATTTGCGTTCTCTCTCTTCTTCTCTTCGCTAGCATGGCTAAGGGTCTGTCGATTTTGTTTATTTTTTCAAAGAACCAACTTTTAGTTTTGTCAATTTTTTCAATTGTTTCTTTTGTTTCGATTTCATTAATTTCAGCTCTGATTTTAATTATTTCTTGCCTTCTACTTCTTTTGCTGTTGTTTTGCTCTTCTTTTTCTAGGATTTTGAGATGAAGTATGAGATCATTTATTTGTTGGTTTTTTCTTTTTTTAAGGAATGAACTCCAAGCAATGAATTTTCCTCTTAGAACTGCTTTCAATGTGTCCCATAGATTCCGATATGTTGTGTCTGTGTTTTCATTAATCTCTAAGAATTTTTTAATTTCTTCCTTGATGTCCTCTATAACCCATTGATCCTTCAGTAACCTATTGTTCATTCTCCAAGTGATGTATTCTTTTCCCTTCCTTCTTTTATCGTTGATTTTCAGTTCCATTCCATTATGATCAGATAGGATGCATGGTATTATCTCTACTCCTTTATATTGTCTAAGAGTTTCCCTGTGACATAATATATGATCTATTTTTGAGAAGGATCCATGTGCTGCTGAGAAAAAAGTGTAACTGCTTGATGTTGGGTGGTATATTCTATATATGTCAATTAAGTTTAGGTTATTAATTGTGTTATTGAGTTCTATAGTTTCCTTATTCAACTTTTGTTTGGAAGATCTGTCCAGTGGTGAGAGAGGTGTGTTGAAGTCTCCCATGATTATTGTATGGTGGTCTATTAGACTCTTGAACTTGAGAAGAGCTTGTTTGATGAACATAGCTGCACCATTGTTTGGGGCATATATATTTATGATTGTTATGTCTTGTTGGTTTATGGTTCCCTTGAGCAGTATGTAGTGTCCCTCTTTATCCCTTTTGATTAACTTTGGCTTGAAATCTATTTTATTTGATATGAGTATGGATACTCCTGCTTGTTTCCGAAGTCCATATGAGTGATATGATTTTTCCCAACCTTTCACCTTCAGCCTATGTATGTCTTTTCCTATCAAATGCGTCTCCTGTAGGCAGCATATTGTTGGGTCTTGTTTTGTGATCCATTCTACTAGCCTGTGTCTCTTGATTGGTGAGTTTAAGCCATTAACATTTAGGGTTATTATTGAGATATGGGTTGTTCTTCCAGCCATATTTGTTTATTTATGTTACTAAACATGGTTTGTTTTCCTCTTTGATTATTTTCCCCCCTTTAGTGTCCTACCTCCCACTGTTGGTTTTCATTGTTATTTTCCATTTCCTCTTCCTGTAATGTTTTGCCAAGGATGTTTTGAAGAGATGGTTTTCTAGCTGCAAATTCTTTTAACTTTTGTTTATCGTGGAAGGTTTTAATTTCATCTTCCATCCTGAAGCTTAATTTCGCTGGAAACACAATTCTTGGTTGGAACCCATTTTCTTTCAGTGTTTGAAATATGTTATTCCAGGATCTTCTAGCTTTCAGAGTCTGTGTTGAAAGATCAGCTGTTATCCTGATTGGCTTACCCCTAAATGTGATCTGCTTCCTTTCTCTTGTAGCTTTTAAAATTCTCTCCTTATTCTGTATGTTGGGCATCTTCATTATAATGTGTCTATGTGTGGGTCTCTTATGATTTTGCACATTCGGCGTCCTGTAGGCTTCTAGGATTTGGGGTTCTGTCTCATTCTTCAAGTCTGGGAAGTTTTCTCGTATTATTTCATTGAATAGATTGCTCATTCCTTTGGTTTGAAACTCTGTCCCTTCCTGTATCCCAATGACTCTTAAATTTGGTCTCTTGATGTTATCCCATATTTCTTGGATGTTCTGCTCATGGTTTCTTAACAGTCTTGCTGAGCTGTCTATGTTCTTTTCAAGTTGAAATACTTTATCTTCACTGTCTGATGTTCTGTCTTCTAAGTGTTGTACTCTGCTGGTAGTATTCTCAATTGAGTTTTTAAGTTGGCTTATTGCTTCCTGCATTTCTAGGATTTCTGTTTGTTTGTTTTTTATAACCTCTATTTCCCTGTATAGTTGATCTTTTGCTTCTTGGATTTGTTTATGTAATTCATTGTTGACGTGATCTTTCATTGTCTGATTTTGCTGTCTGATGTCTTCCTTGAGACTCCAGATCATCTGAAGCATGTATATCCTGAATTCTTTATCTGACATTCCATCTGCTGCAGCTATTACCTCTTCTAACGTTGAGTTGACCTGCATTGCTTGTGGTCCTTTCTTTCCTTGTCTCTTCATACTGTTCGCGTTCCTTTCTACTTGGTGAAACTGTTGTGCTATTGAATTTTCCCCCTATATATTTATATTGGTCTTGTATAGTTGCAAAGTCTCCCTCGAAGGCGCGGGCGGCGGCTCTGCCCCTCCTCCAATTGGGGCAATGTGCCTACCACGCTGGCAGGCCGCTGGGCCTGCTCTGCCAGTCGGTAGCAGGTCCGCCGACCTTGCAGGCACGGGCGGCGGCTCTGTCCCTCTGCTGGCCGCTAGGCTTGTTCTGTCGGTGGTCGCAGTTCTGTCTACTTTGCAGGCGCAGGCAGCGGCACTGCCCCTCTGCAGGCCTCTGGGGCTGTACTGCCAGTGGGTCGCAGGTCCGCCTACCTTGCAGGCGCGGGGGGGGGGGCGGCTCTACCCTTCCTCAGGCCACTGGGCCTGTTCTGTCTCTCGGTTGCAGGTCTGGCCTGTTCTGATGGTGGTCACAGTTCCGTCTACCTTGCAGGCGCGGGGGGGAGGGGGCGGCTCTGCCTCTCAGCAGGCCGCTGCTCCTCTTCTGCCGGTGGGTCGCAGGCCCTCCTACCTTGCAGGAGTGATTGGAAGCTCTGCCCCTCCGCGGGCCACTGGGCCTTTTCTGTCAGTGGTCAGAGTTCCGCCTACCTGGCAGGCGTGGGGGGTGGGGGGCGGCTCTGCCCCTCAGCAGGCCGCTGGGCCTGTTCTGTGGGTGGTCACAGTTCCCTCTACCTTGCCGGCGCAGGGGGAGGGGGCGGCTCTGCCTCTCAGCAGGCCGCTGCTCCTCTTCTGCCGGTGGGTCGCAGGCCCGCCTACCTTGCAGGAGTGATTGGAAGTTCTGTCCCACCGCGGGCCACTGGGCCTTTTCTGTCGGTGGTCACAGTTCCACCTACCTGGCAGGCGCGGGGGGTGGGGGGCAGCTCTGCCCCTCAGCAGGCCGCTGGGCCTGCTCTGTGCGTAGTCACAGTTCCCTCTACCTTGCCGGCGCAGGGGGAGGGGGCGGCTCTGCCTCTCAGCAGGCCGCTGCTCCTCTTATGCCGGTGGGTCGCAGGCCCGCCTACCTTGCAGGAGTGATTGGAAGCTCTGTCCTGCCGCAGGCCACTGGGCCTTTTCTGTCGGTGGTCACCGTTCCACCTACCTGGCAGGCGCGGGGGGTGGGGGGTGGCTCTGCCCCTCAAATTTAAATTTTATACTTAATGTATTTCACTACATGTAAATGTGCCCTCAAAAATCAAAAAAACATCCTGAATTTGACTGATAATTGTTTTCCAGAGGGCTTTAGGATACCATAAGGGACATGGTTTGTGGTCACAAAGCAATGCCATGAGGAGAATGGAGCACAATCTGGAAAACCCCATCTTTAAAAGAAAACACTGGTGCTTTGTCTCTTCTCCTCAACAAGCACAAGAGCAACAGTCGAGAAAGAAAGCCCTCAGGGAATTCCCATCTCCTGCCAGGTCTCAGGCAACACCAGGGTGTGGGCCGACCTGACTCACGGGCTACCCACTGGCAGGCCAACGTGCCCAGCTGAAGAGGCAGGAGCCCCTCCTGGGAGCCTGCTTGAGTTTAAGCTGGGGTGTTCCCAGCACATTCCCACGTGTTGGGGTGGGGGCTGGGGTTTGCTGCAGGACTGTATTCTTTGTCTGTTTTCCTCTTGATTTCATTATAAACTAGAATAGAGGAGACCTCAAATCTAGATACTTTCATTTAATTCATGAGAAGCTGTCTGTGGTCCAGTAGAGCAGGCTCCTAAATCTCCATTTTCCCCGCTTAACAAAAGCATGAGGAATATCTATAGGAAATGATGTCGCTGGGGTAGACACCATCTTTTATGAGAAACTGTTCTATAAATACTTTATTCGAGGAATTTAATAATCAGAAGCCCTGCATAGGCTGCTGCTTTCTAATAAATTATCTTACATAGGGAGGGAGTAGAGGGAACATTGTTTTCTTAATATCATCTGAAAGAAATGCAGAATATTAATTTGCTGACTTACCCCAGCTAAAAGTTCTTGTGGAGCTCCCACATGATAAATCAGAGAGAGAGATCCCACCTAACAGGCCAAGTTGGTTCTCAAATGAAAACTGATACCCACAGCAGTATCTACTGTCATCTTCTCTGCCAGTAAAACATGTGTTTCCTGTTATGTAGGGCCAGCCCTAACATACAGAGGGTTTGACATTTGGTAGGTACCCAATAAATTCCGAATACATCAATGTCAGTTACACTAAATAAAACGATTTTGTGAATCATATTGCATTGAGCGTTTGCCAATAATCACTTGCCTTTTTAAAATCCAGCATGCATAGCTTGGCTTTTTCTCCAAATTGCCACTTGCACTGTGTGTTTGCATCGTATAACTCTCCTGGTAGCTTCTCAGGGTACTTGTATTCCTTTCCAGGTTTTGGCTGGTCAGCAAGGCATACTGCTTGGGTAGTGCTGAAACAAAGAGGAGATGGGCAACTGGGGAGGGTTACCAAGGAGGTCCCATCAACCGAATCTCTATCTCATGCAATTGTGCAAACTATTTTGCCTAGAAGGAAACTTTTTTCCTATGGTTCATTGTATCATTTATCCTGATCATATTTAAACACAGCAGCACACATTTCTGAGATTATTAATAATAAATTTTACCTTTTCCAAGAAGGCAATTTGTTCTTTGTTAGATTTCTCAAACTTATCAGGGGGAAAAGTGTAACTGAATAATTAAAACCAGATGTTCAATGTGAGAAGTTCCTATAACAAAATCTTTTATGTACTCTTCTTGCCAGAAACCATCAAAAGATGAAACCAGGCACTGTAAAAATCAAAATGCAATGAGACTATTTCAGTCTGGAATTTCTTCCTTTCCTTTCTGCCTCCCCTCTTATCTTTTAGGCAGGGAACAGTCTGTGTAATACCTTAGACCTTCTAGAGGACCTTCAGGGAAGACCACATTTCCACTAGCAAATGTCTATGTTCAGGTGATTTCTGCCCAGACCTTCCAATCCAGAAGGAATCTAACTCTAGTGAAGTTCCCTAGTACATGACTAAAGACCAACTAATGCTCACTTCCTCCACAAATGGAGCATTACATTCCCTACCAGGATGATTTGGGAGTAATTTGTGCATTTTAGGGTGATATTTGAAAGTTTCTATGATTGCAAATAGCAACTAAATCCTTTCAATAAATTTCAATACCTCCCAACCTAAAACTGGCGAAAACTTATTAACAAAATTCAAGCAAGTTATTCTGTAGATGTACAGACTGATTCTAAAGCACACAAGGAGAGGCTAAGTACACAGAACTCTTCTCACAGTGCTGAAGGAGAATGCAGCTGGAGAGCTGACACTGCCCAACGCAAGACTCACGGAGAAGCCACAGTACCAGGAAAACGTGGAGCTGGTGGAAGGACACACCTAGATCAGGGAGAGCCCAAACAGACCACATACACCTGGCCACTGATTCTTGACCTGGGCGGAAGGCAAGAGAAGGAAGAAGGGACGACACGATTTCTGTAAACACTGCCAGGACAACTGGACATCTACATGCAAAAAGAAAAATCTAGAGACTTTAGAGGCTCACAGTACCTGATTTCAAGATTTACAGTGAAGCTGTGGTAAACAAGCCATTGTCATTTTGGCAAAAGGACAGACAAACAGATCAACACAACAGAATGGGGATTCCAGAAAGACAGCAGCGCCATAGGTCAGTTAAGTTTCTGACGAAGTTGCAAATCTAATTGAGAAAAGGAAATCTGTCCTTTTCATTAGACAGTACTGAAAAAAATTGGACAGCTTATGAAGAAAAGAAGCTTGGTCCATACCTCATGCCCCATAGGAAAATTAACTAAGACTGGCTCGTTAGCCTCAATATAAAATGAAGAGAACCTATACAATTACAGGAAACTAGACTGTACACCCTTCACGAAAATTGGATCATAGACTTAATATAAAGTGTAAAATTATAAGACCTTTGGAAATAACATAGAAGAATGCCTCCATGATCTTGGGAGTGGTGGTGTCCTTTTAAGATTTAACACCGAAGGCATACTTGATAATACTTGATAAGCTAGACTTTATTAAAATCAAAACTTCTGTTCCGTGAAAGACACTAACAAGGAAATGAGAAGACAAGCCACAAACTGGGAGAAAATACTTTCAAAAGTCACACCTGATAAAGGATTGTTATAAAATATATAAATAACACTTAAAATTCAATAATAAGAAAATAAGACAAAGTAAAAACTCAAAGAGAGAGAAAAGCTCTGAATAGACACTTTGTTAAAGAATATATACAGATGACATGCAAATAAAAGATGTCCAACATTGTGGGTGATTAGAGAATTGCTATGTAAACTCTCAGTGAGGTTCCCCTGCACACCTACCAAGATGGCTGGAATCCAGAACCCTGACAGCATCAGGTGTTGATGAGGTTGTGAAGCCACAGGAACTCTCATCCGATCAGAATGGGTACCAAAGAAAAGTCGTTTGATCATTTACAAACTATCTACCACAACATTCATTTGGACAAATGAATTTTGACTTTGCTGTATGCCTGGCACACAATATCCAGTAGCATCCATGTGACATGCAAAGCAATAAAACTTGGAGATTACTTGGAAAACTATATTTAAGACTTTGGAATGAGAAAACATCTTTTCTCAGTGGTTTATAGGAAGTACCAACCCTAAAGAAAATATAGATGATTCAGACTCCACAAGGAAAATGAAAACCCCCACCTATCAAAAGACTATACCGGAAGAGCAAGTAGGAGCCCCAGAGTGAGAGATGTTTATGTTCCATATATTCTAGGATGGATCAAAATGTTCATGGGTGCGTAAAGAATTCCCACCAAGAAGTAAGGAAAAGAAGGCCTTGGTTTTTTAAATGCTCAAGAGATTTGAACAGGCACTTTACCAAAGAGGTTTGTCAAGTGGCCATTAGAATTGTTAAAATGGTATTTGCCCTCATTAATCACCACCTTAAGCTGCCAGTGCACACCCCACAATATGACAAAAGTGAGAAATATCAACACCACATATGGCAAAGGTCAGGAGCACGTTTAAATGTCCCACTATTTTATAAAGAACTTGAGAGATGATTTGGTGCTAGCTCATCATTTTCCAAGTAAGAAGAGGGGGTTTCTGAGAAGGATGCATTATTTGTTAAGGAGCCCCCTTCCAGGGATGAAGACGTGCTCAGCTCCTGGGCTCCACCCTGCCTTCTCCCCACTACATGGCGGTGCTCCTCTCCAGCCTCAGAGTTGCACGGGCTCTGCAGAAACCAGGACCAGCTGTGACTCGCTTGCCTTCCTGAAGGTGGAGTTTACACAGCAGAGCAAGCTGAGGACTGAGTGCACTGTTTCCATTGGATGTAGGAACATCTTTAATTATTTTTAAAGTAAAGAGAGTCCATGTTGTCATGAATTGTGAAATAAGAAGCTAAAATTTCCCTGTCATGGACCTCCCAGCTGCAGACATGAGCAATCATGATGATTTTGTGTCTGGTAACAGAAAATGACATAGGAATTCATTGAGTGGGCTGATGAATTTACTCCAAATAAGTATTTGTCCTCACGACTCTACAAGAATGGAAGTTCTGCTGACAACTTCAGGCCAACTGGGTTCCCTCTTCATGTATTTTTTTTTCCATCTGCCCGATGCTAGACTATTAATAAAGGAGAGCAGATTCATCTCTAGAAGCTAGCCAATTATTCTTACTCACTGTTGGGAACCTGTCCACACATGATTGATATTTTCCTATTAATCGATTGAAGATGCCTATTTATAAAAGTAAGAAAACTTTCCAAAACATTAAATGCTGACAAATGCCTTGGTGTGATTGATGCTACGTGGACTTCCTTGGAGTCTCAAGATCAGCCTGGGATTGGCTGTCAGAACTCCATGCTGTAACAAAGTGTCTAGTCAACTCCATGGTCAGCTAAATCTCAAGATACCTTGGGAGGAGCCCAGGCCGGCAAACCCACCCGAGCTGCATGCACAGGAGGCTGAGCAGGGAGTGACCACCAAGGGCGCAGGGAGGTGACACAGTTGGTGCAAGTGTTCATACCTTAAAAACTTGTGCAGGTACTGGCGGCTGCAGGGAGACCAGGAGAAGACTCCGTTGCGTCCTGCCAGCGTGGGGGACATGATGTTGCCCTCTGACTTTTTGCACATGTTCCCTTCTCCATCGTGGACCATGCCAAAGCTACGGAAGAAAACGAGAGAGGTGGCTATTCAGAGCATAGTGCAGTTTCAAGTGTCAAATGTGCTCCAACAACCCCAAGTCTGACTGTGAATCCTCCCACAAGCTTCAAGCAAGGGAGGCCAAGGCAGAAGCCAACGTGGCCTGGGAGTGCACGGGTCTCTTCCGTTCTGAAGAATAGACCATTCATTGGAGTGATCAAAAGCATGCATGGGCATCCAATCAGAGCAAGTGCCCAGGTGCGTGCTGAGGGCAGATGTTTTAAAAAGGAGCATTTCAAGCCCATGGGAAGGACAGTTTGTTTGTGACTTGAAAAAGCTAAACTGATCAATCTTGCTTCCTTCTCTCTGCACTCTTTGATCACTGGGACTGTCCAAATTTCTAAGAACATTAGAAAATGCAAAAAACAGGCTCCCAGCCAGGAATTGTTGACCTGGGGAAGAGCAATCCAGGTATCTGAGGTTGCCAAACAAGCTCCCCAGGAGTGTGTGGTGTTTAATGCAACTAGAGGACGACTGAGGCCCTGCTGCTCTGGTTAAGGGGCTCACACTCCATCTCCACAGCCACCCTGTGTGCCTCCTTCTCATGCCAAGACCAGACCAGGCTGCGGGGTGGCAGCTGGGCAGTCCGTGACTCCTTGACCCACGCCTCTCCTCCCTCTGGAGGGGCTTCTCCCCAGAACACAAAAGGGTGAACATGGTTGATTCGTCTGTGGACATTTCCTGAAGCTGTTCCTATTACTCTTGAGTGAAAACCAGACCAGGGATCCAGCCCTGGCCTCGTGTCTGGGGGCAGCTCAACTGCAGTGGCTACAGATCAGGGCCACACTGACTGGCCACACTGACCTCCTGTTACCATGAGCCTACTCCAGCTTGACCTCCTCGAGTTTTCTGTTGGACAGCCTTGTGCTGCCATCGTCACCTCTCCCAGAGGACCCCAGCATGCTGCCTGGGGAGGAAGGCAGGGGGTTTGGGAGCTCCACGTGGCCCTGAAGACCTCCATTAAGGCAAATGCCTATTAGGACAGCCAAGCCATTATTGGCACTGTGTCTCCTAACCAGTCGTTGTGTGAACTCCCTGAGCACAGGGTCCTGACTAAGTGAGACACAGAGGAAAAAGAAAGGCAAGGGAGAAAAACAAGGAAGATCAAGGCAGTCACTGGATCTGGGAGCTTTCTGAGGCCCAAATCCTTGAAGAGGGGAGGGAAGGGCAGGGACAGGAAACCCCGCAGGGGAAGTGGCTCCATTTGGGGATAAGAGGCTCTGCACTTGTGGCTAAGACTGAACTCCTTTGTCCACTTAGCTGTGGACTTGGTGACTTAGCACTGCAGGATAATAGGAGTGAAAACAGCATTCACAAACACCCACTGGGGCACAGGCACCATGTCAAGCACACGACACACATTTTCTAACTTAAACCTCATCACACCCCTCAGGTCAGCAAGGCTGAGGACTGGAGAGAGGCCCTGTCCAGGTGCAGAGTGAAGACCCGAGATCAGACACCAGGAGGTCAGGCCCTTGCTGGACATGCAGTGGTTAGACCTGAGCAGGACAGAAGAGTGTATCCAAGGAGATGTGGCCTGCAAGTACTGCTGGATTCCTGCAAAACTCCGACCAGTTCTGAGGATGATGTGGATGTGGTCATTCCAGCCTCCGCCCATTCTCTGAAGCTCTATTAAAGGCAATTAATCAGGGCCAAGGAGACCCTGTGGCAGAGGAAATGTGTCATGGCTGTGGAAAGGAGCTGGGCTCAAATCCCAGCTGGGAGGCGGCCCTGGGAGGCAGCAGTGGAGAGGAAATGCTTCCCACCCTGCCTGGCTGGCCCTCCACCTGCTTGTGAAGAAGATGCAACGTGGTCCAGCAACGGCCTAGATAGAGCCACTCCACCGCGGCCTACCTTTCTAAGGAACTGAAAGCGCCAAGGCCTAGGTCTACGGATACCTTGGTTTTAAGCTTTCTCATTAAAGGCATTTTCCGTGATTCTTCAAACTCTGCAGTGCGTTAAAGATCTGAGATACACTGCACAATGTGGCTAACCACAGCCTCTCTGGTGGCTTCTGATGCAGCAGGTTAGGGGTCAGGATCTGGCACTTGGCTGGATTCGTACACACCCCAGGGGATTCTGATGCCCACCCAGCATCACTATTTCATAAGTTGCGTTGTCCCGCAGTATACCATGCACAGACATGATGAATGCCAGTAAGTCAGCATAAATATACCACAGCGGTCATATCTCATATTAACATTAATGTTAAAAGAACACATCTGGAAGATGAGGTTGGTATTTGTCAACCAAGAAAAATAATTACTACTGAAGGTATACATGCTAGATAATTTTATTTGCTCTTGTGCATCAGAACACTTTAGTTAAGTGGTTATCACCCATGCTTAAAATAATAAAATAGATTTCCTTCCTTCATCCTTTACCAATCTGTTAAGTTTGGGAAGAGCCTAGACCCTCTCATCCGTGCCCACAGCCCCACTGCCAGGGCTCCAGGGCTCACGGCAGGCTCTCCATGGTGGACCAACAAGACAGTCTTTCTGGCTGTAACACTAACTCAAATGCTGGGCACAAATCGAATTTCAGATTAGACTGGATTTGAAAATGATACTCAGGGTTGGATATGTTTAATGTTTTCCACGATGCTTTCTTGAATGATCTAATTGTTATCAGCAAATACTTTTGCATTTCTAGTGGTAGACCAGGATGAGCAGACCCGTGTGGCGGAGTGCGCACCAACTATTTCAGCTGTTCAGAGGGCACAGTTAGGGAACGGGGACACCCTTCAGAGGAGCGGCGGCTCAGTGTCATCTGGGTGCTCACTCCACCCTTGGAGTGATGATGGTGTTCTGGGGGAGGGCCCCAGCATGGGCTTCATGAGCAGCACAGCTCATCCTCAAGAGGGGCAGGAGGCTGAGGTGGAGAGAGCAGCTGGGAGCGGCAGACACCTGCAGAGATCTCGGACTGGAGGGTCTCATCTCTGTCATGCACAAGCTGTTTGATAACAGGCAAATTGTTTAGCCCCCTGGGCTTCAGTTTCCAAATTATAAAGTCTACATAAACTGTACAGCATGCCCAGCATTGTGTAATTCACAAAGGAAAATTCAGAACTTCTGTCCCTTGTCCTGCTTTGAATATGGTCTTGGTCACATGCCTCGACATGTGGAAGTCACTCGTGCACATGTGTTGTATATATGTATGTGTATGTATTGGGTGGGGGGGGGAAGCCAATGGACTTCAAATACTTTTTGGATGCAGAAATAAGAACTTTCAAGAGGAACAGTGATAAATAAACTTGGTAAGAGCTGAAGCCCTTGGTCGGCCAGGGATCCTCAGGGAACAGTCTGACGATCACCAGACCAGATGATGGAGCAGGGGCCAGCTTGCTCCAGTATTCTATAGGTCCTTAAAGTCACCAAGCACCTCCTTGTCCCAGTGGAAGGGGCTCAGGGTGACGGCAGAGCACGGTCATGAACAGGTGGGAATGCCGATCACCCCCTAACACCTCAACGGCATCTACCATCCCTAGGGAGTGTGACTGAGTTGCACCATCTCATCACCCAGCTGTGGGGCTGCCTGCCCACGCTGCTTCTTCCAAGTGTCCCTGACTGTCCCCACGTGACCTCTTGCAATGCCCACACCCCTCTTTACTCCATCCCTCGCATGGCATGTCTACTTTGTCTTCTTTCTTAGAATTTGGGAGGGCACGGGTTACTCTTTCAATAGATTCCTACACAATGCCCCGTGGGCAGATGCAAACTGTGCCCAGTGACTGGGTGCGTAGATTCAGGGGAGCCAGGCCTGGAGGATCACACATCCCCTCAGCGCGGTAATCACGCTTTGGTGGTGTCTTAGTGGTCTGAGACACAGCACAAGGGTAACTCTTGAAGCCTACTCTGTAAAATGGACACGTGCAGCTCAGCTAGTATGGTTCATAATGGTTCATATTGCATGTGCACACGTGGCGGGGAGCTCCCGGGGCTCTCCTGATTGCAGATGGCAAGCCCATGTAAGAGCTGATGGGTGATGCTCTGTGAGCTCTGATAGTGACAGGGGCAGGCAGAGGGCATGGTGGGGACATCAAGTCAAGGGAATAATTCTATAGTCTGGGCCCACGGTGCTGACCCCACATGCTTTCACTTTTTTTTTCTTTTTTGTTGGTACCAGGGATGGAACTCAGGGGGACTTAACCACCGAACCCAATCCCCAACCCAATTTTTGTGTTTTATTTAGAGACAGGGTCTCACTGAGTTGCTTCATGACTCACTTTTTTCTTTTTTTTTTCCCTGAGGCTGAATTTGAACTTGAAATCCTTCTGTCTCAGCCTTCCAAGCTGCTTTCACTTTTGAAAAGTAATTTACATGCAGCCCATGCTGGTTTAGTTGCCAGGATATGTTACATTTCTCTGCAAACCACAGGAGAAATACAGGCCCTGTTTTAATCAGCCTTTTCACTGCTGTGACTAAAGGACCTGACCAGTACAACAATAGGGGAGAAAAAGTTTATTTGGGTGCTCACGGTTTCAGAGGTCTCAATCCATAGAGAGAAGACTCCATTCCCCGGGACTCACGGCAGAAGAGTGAGGCAGAGAGAAGCAGCTCACATGAAGATCAGGAAGCAGAGAGAGACTCCACTCTCCAGGAGATACAAAATACATGCCCCACAGCCACACCCCCCATGAGCCACCTCCTCCAGCCACACCCCACCTGCCTCCAGTCACCACTCAGGTGATCCTATCGCTTCAATAAACTTGTTCCCATTACTCTGAGTGACATGCCTGAAATCATTCTGACTTGATTGCAAGATCTGGGGTTTGGAGGGGGGCCTTCATGCCATCTCAGTTTTCTTGGAGGCCCCAGCCTCCAAATGATAGAACCCATGAATCTGGAATCTGTGCCCTGCCCACCAAATGGTATGACTTCTCTTAGCAAAGGGAATTCTCCAATGGACTTGTGTCCAGACACACTCTTCCACAGGTGCCTTCTGCCCTCTGTGCATCTGTGTGATTCATCAACACCACTTGTAGCAAACTCTATGTCCTGCTTCAAGACATTTAATATAACTAGAAAACTCTCCTTGAACCGTGTTCACTCAGCAATCCTGGTTCATCGCCTTGTACTGGAGCAGAATGCACATCTGGATTCCGGCACCAGTCTCTCCAAACCACCCGTTCTTGACAATTTCTATTGTTAGGTCCAATTCCCCAGTATGAAGGGCAAGTAGGTGGTGGATGAAAACAACTTAGAAGAAAGTGGATGGGCATAAACTACGATCCTTCCTTGAGTTGCGCTGAAGGTGAGAGATCATGGAGTGCGAAGCTAGATACACGCTCCATCGTGAACGGGACCCAGGACATGGCTGTCACCTCTGAACCAGGACGTTCATGTGTCTTCCACAGCAAAAGTCCTAATAGATGAAAAATTACTTTTTAACCCTCAACATGTGGAATTCAAATTTGACCCTCCTTGGAGCTCCTTGCCAAAGATATGGTAAAGGCACAATGTCTGTGCCAAGGCATCTGATCCCTGCATCAAACCTGAAATTCCTTCCTCAAGAAATAGAATAAAATTCGTGAATGCAATAAATGTGCTTGTCTTCAAGTCAATTAAAGTAAAATGTATGACGTTTATTACTGATGTCATGTGCTGTGGCCTTTCTCATTTGGAGCTGTCAGGCCTAAAGCTCCACCCTTCATTTGTCCCCCTCCCCGCTCACATTCTGGCTCACTCACCCCCATTCCACACACACACACTTGCTGAATACTCAGCCTGGACCCCTCAGTTGGGGAAAGCAGTTTAAGAGATTTTCCTAAGTGATTTCCTCAGTTTGAGTTGTCTGTGAAATTGCTCCACAAATTTTACAAAAGTTGCCTGATCCAAAACAGGCATTGCCATCATCATGGCTACTACTGTTATCATAACAGCGATCGCTGGTTTGCGTACTTAGCTTATGCCCAAAGCACACATTTTCCTGTTTTCTCGGCGTGAGCAGAAGCTGTTTCGTCGACAACATTGCCTCTTAGAGCTCTGGGTGTCTCCCCTGCAGTGTCCTCTGAACTGCCGCTGGTCCCGAGGATGGGGTTGCTTCTGGAGGTCATTCTCCCATCACTCTCCCTCCTCATGGGAGCTCCTTCCTTCCCACCCACCTGCAATCCCACTCTCAAGTGATCTACATTTCTCTCGTTTTAAGGAGGTTCTTCAGCCATCAGGCCCAGGCTGAGTGAGGAAAGGAACTACTAACAATTGGCCGACTCTGGTCCCTGTTGACCTGGGGATGGAGAGCCCTGTTAGAGGCATCCAGATTCGCGTCAGTCGGCTTCACCTCCTGCAGCGGCCAGCACTGCCAGCGCCCATATCTCAGCCTCTTATCAAACGCTGACGGCTCAGTCCCGGTGACTTAAATATTTCTTGCCTTGATAGTTTAATTAAATTCAGGTACGGTTCAGAGGACAGCAAGATCCTCGTGTTGCTACAATAATGAAAGTTTTTGAAGTTTTTACTCTAGCAGACTATTAAAAATACAATTATGATTTAACCGAAAGCCTTATAGAGTATAGGTGTAATTTTCTAGGCAATGAAATAGTCAATCATTACCTCTAATGATAAAGGGATCAGTAATGGGATATGGAGCGTCATTTTCAGGTTACACGGAGTCTAAGCTGCAGAGCCCCATGTAGTTCCACAGACAGAGGTCACACATGTGTGTGCATAAATGTGCACACACACGCACACACACCACACACACACACAATACACATGCCACACCCCACACACAATGTACACACAACACATGCACACAATACACGCACATTGCACACACCACACACCACACACCATTCACACCACACAAAATATACACACACCACACACACAACACATGCACACAATACATGCACAACATACACCCCCCCACAACACATGCACACAATACACTCACACCACATACCACACACACCACACACACAATACACATACCACACCCCTACACACAATGCACACACAACACATGCACACAATACACACACCACACACACAACACATGCACATAATACATACACATTGTACACAACGCACACAACACACACAATACATGCACACAATACACACTGCACACCACACACACACACCATACACACCACATGCACACACACCACACACACACACGCCTGAATGGGTGTGGGTAACATGAGTCTGTGACTTAGTTTGTTTTTCAACAGGGGATAGAAAAGTTAGCTTTGCAGAAACACAAATCACAAACACCCCTTTTGATTTTTTTTTTTTTTTTTGCCAGTAAAATCAGCTTAAAATTTAAAAGGAAAAAGAAAAAGAAAAACTGATTTTTGTTATCCACTTTTGTGCTATGGGTGTCCTATTAAGGAATTTGGAGCCCGACCCTACAATATGTAGATCGGAGCCAACTTTTTCTTCTATCAGACGCAGAGTCTCTGATTTGATATCTAGCTCCTTGATCCACTTTGAGTTAACTTTTGTGCATGGCGAGAGGAGGGGATTCAGTTTCATTTTGTTGCATATGGATTTCCAGTTTTCCCAGCACCATTTGTTGAAGATGCTATCCTCCCTCCATTGCATGCTTTTAGCTCCTTTATCAAATATAACAAAAATCAACAAATGGGACTTACTTAAACTGAAAAGTTTTCTCTCAGCAAGAGAAACAATAAAAGAGGTAAATAGGAAGCCTACATCATGGGAACAAATTTTTACTCCTCACACTTCAGATAGAGCCCTAATATCCAGAGTATACAAAGAACTCAAAAAATTAAACAATAAGAAAACAAATAACCCAATCAACAAATGGGCCAAAGACCTGAACAGACACTTCTCAGAGGAGGACATACAATCAATCAACAAGTACATGAAAAAATGCTCACCATCTCTAGCAATCAGAGAAATGCAAATCAAAACCACCCTAAGATACCATCTCACTCCAGTAAGATTGGCAGCCATTATGAAGTCAAACAACAACAAGTGCTGGAGAGGATGTGGGGAAAAGGGTACTCTTGTACATTGCTGGTGGGACTGCAAACTGGTGCGGCCAATCTGGAAAGCAGTATGGAGATTCCTGGGAAAGCTGGGAATGGAACCACCATTTGACCCAGCTATTGCCCTTCTTGGACTTTTCCCTGAAGACCTTAAAAGAGCGTACTACAGGGATACTGCCACATCGATGTTCATAGCAGCACAATTCAAAATAGCTAGACTGTGGAACCAACCCAGATGCCCTTCAATAGATGAATGGATAAAAAAAAATGTGGCATTTATACACCATGGAGTATTACGCAGCACTAAAAAATGACAAAATCATGGAATTTGCAGGGAAATGGATGGCACTAGAGCAGATTATGCTTAGTGAAGCTAGCCAATCCCTAAAAAACAAATACCAAATGTCTTCTTTGATATAATGAGAGCAACTAAGAACAGAGCAGGGAGGAAGAGCAGGAAGAAAAGATTAACATTAAACAGATACATGAGGTGGGATGGAAAGGGAGAGAAAAGGGAAATTGCATGGTAATGGAGGGAGACCCTCATTGTTATACAAAATTACATATAAGAGGTTGTGAGAGGAATGGGAAAATAAACAAGGAGAGATATGAATTACAGTGGATGGGGTAGAGAGAGAAGATGGGAGGGGAGGGAGGGGGATGGTAGAGGATAGGAAAGGTAGCAGAATACAACAGTTACTAATAGGGCATTATGTAAAAATGTGGATGTGTAACCGATGTGATTCTGCAATCTGTATTTGGGGTAAAATTGGGAGTTCATAACCAACTTGAATCTAATGTATGAAATATGATATGTCAAGAGCTTTGTAATGTTTTGAACAACCAATAAAAAAAAATTAAAAAAAAAAAAAAGAAAAACTGAAATGTCTAGGACATTTTCTGGGCTGAATTCCAATACAGTCTCAATGCACAGGACACTATCTACACCCCACTCCTGGCCTGTGTGCTCATGAGATCACCTGTAGGAAACCCTGGCTGCTTGGGCTGCAAGTAGGACCCTTCAACCCTTTTAATGAACAGATCCATGAAGTTAATCAGCTACAGCAATATCAGATAAAGAAAGCTTACCTGAGTCTCACAGCTGCCATAAGTAATTGCTAGACTTTTTTTTCCCCCATTTTACAGGTGTAAGTGTAAGGTTTTCATGTACAAAGAGGACGGACGCCAGCATCACAGCAACCTTGATGAGAGCCACTTGCCAGGACCCTGTCCAGCTAGACGGAGCCTCCTGGTGCAATGAGATGCCACCTCAGTTCAAAACCAGTTACAACACTGAAGTTGGGTGTCTAATGACAGCATTTTACAACTGACATCTCACAGTCTGCATGTGAACTCCCTCTAGAAACATGATTTAACGCCCTGGTGACCCTATGGTGTCACCCAGTTAGGAAGGGCCCCAGGCTGCACCCTCCCTAGAGATGGGCTTACTTGTGTCCAGACTCATGGGCGATGGTGAAGGCCAGTCCCAGCCCTGTATCTTCATTGATCGTACAGCTGCGGTATTTACTACACATTCCACTTATGGGCGCGAATCCTATGGGGCAAAAGATTGAGACAATCTATACTAGTGTTGTCATACAAAGAGTAAGTAAATATCTATTTTCTGCCCTATGATACAATCTGGTCCTCACCTTCATTTGGGGAAACATGAAACGGACCACCCTTGGACAGTCGTGGAGGGATGTGATCGTGTGTGGGAATGTGGGGAAGTGGTCTCCCCGGGAGCCCAAGGACTCTGTCCCATGGAAGACGGCTCATGTTTCTAGGCCATGCGCCTGGCACAGGCTGTACCTGGGGCCAAACAGAAGAGGGTTTACTGTGTTTCTCTATTACACCTGGGTTCACAAAGCCACTGGAAGAGCCCGTAGAGAACCGGTGTGTCGGGAGGCCCTAAGCCCACCCCTGTTCCGTGATTCTCTCACTTCTGATGGGTCTCTGGCAGAAGGAGACAGATCAAAAGCAAGGGAGGGAAAAGTCACATGGCGCAGAGTCTGGGAACCAGGGTGAACTTCTGAGACCCTTCCCCACTGGGGACACAGCTTATCTCCCCAGCAGTGAGTGTGACCACAGTGTGAGGTGCTGTCCAGCAGCTGGGAGGCTCAGCGGGGCTCAGCCTCCAGGGTTTACTAGAAGCTGGTCATGGGGGCACCATGCTTGACATGGACCACTGCAGACTCCCAGAAGGAAAGCAGGGTAGGCACGGGCTATGGTGAGGCACAGTGGGCCACTCTCCTAGGTGGAGTGCTAAGGACCACCCTAAAATCTTGAGTGTTCTAGGGACAGCCAATGGCCAGACTTGTAAGCAGGTCCCCTTCAAAGGACAAGCAGGCCACTGTGGGAACTCCACACAATAGGATAAACCTGTGCTAGACAGAGTCCTGCCCAAGAGATTTTCCAACAAAAAGCATTCCTCTGAGAACCAGGGAACAAAAAGAGTAAGAGAAGGTTCCAGGGTGTTGGAGTTAGGGGCCCACTGCCTTACAAAGCCCGCCTCTGGGTTGCAGCCAGCCTTAGAAATAGCTAAAGCTTGCCAACTTGCTAAGATTGAGATATTTACAGAGAAAAGGGAAAATGAAGAGCACAATATCTTATGCTATCTTTATAAATATTCATAAATGTGTTGTTTCTGCTGCTTAGTGAGATCTTCTGTGTATAACTTGGATCTATTAGCCCATTCTCATGTATGGTAGAAAAAATGGAAAAAAAAATATGTCCCACATCAGAAGAGATGGAGAGTCAAACTCTGAGCGACCTTCCTTGTCTCATGTCACTCTGGATGAACAAGAGCCTGCTCCCGGACTGAGCCCCAGCTGTGCAGGGAAGGCAGTCTTTTCCTCACAATTATGCTCAGCAGTAGCTGCGGCTTGTGGATGTGGACAGGGCAGAAATCCTCACCACCCACACGGCCCACAACCTCTGCTGGAGGGTCTTACCTAGAGTATCGCAGGGCTCATTCTTCCAGGAGCATATGTCCAGGCCGGTCAGTAGGATGGCGTGGTCATGGCGAGTCCCATCCTTCCCCATCAATCCCGACTGCCACTGACAGAAGCTACTCAAGGTGTGGTCTGCGTGGTGACTTATCACCAGCCCTGGCTGTGCAAGAGAGCCAAGGCCCCGTGAACATGGAGGGAAATGTTTCAAGACCTTATCATCATCGCCAATCATCATTGACTTGGATTTCAAATACAAAGGTGGACCCGGATAGCAGTAAGCTAATGCATGCATTTTATGCAAAAGAAACCCTGACAAATTCAGTGCAGAGACTCATGTACCTTTCTGTTTATAAACAATTGGTATATGTCTGGCTGAGCCTGAATGCATGTTCAGTGACTCAAGAAAGAACGTTGGTGCATCTTTTTTTTTTTTTTTTGCATTTAAAACCTTTGGAAAACTTTGGCAGAGTTACATAAGGTAACAGAATCATTCAAGCACGGTTTTCCTATACAGACAAACACACATAGCCAGTGATAGGATGCTCATTTCATAACCCGGCTGGCAAGTGGTAATCTCCAGCCATGCCCCCTAGCTGTTCACTGTTACAGAGTTCCATTAAGTAACCATCCTAGGACAGAAGCAGAGGGGTCTTATTTCTGGGAGGCACCCTTCAACTAGAAGGGAACCATCTAGAAAGACATCCATAAACACCAACTTCTAGCAGAAGAACAGGGATATGCCGGAGTGAAGAACTGGGGAACTCATGGGAACTGGGGAATTCGGGGTGTGCAGGAGCATCCGTCAGAGCAGGCTGCCCCGAGCTTTCTGAGCCACTAAGACAGGAATGCAACCATGTCCTGTGGGTGGCCAGGGAGAATCAGGACAGGGGCCTCAGTTTCAGTACACCATCTTTTTGAGAGCTCCACTGATGGAGTGGGGTCAAAACCTTTGCCTCTCGGTCACTAAACACGTTTTCTCCTTAAATGTTTATTTTGTTTTTCTGGAGAGACAAATGCATCCAAGCTAAGTGCTGTGCGTCCACACTGTGGCGCGCCTGCATTCCTCAGCGGCAGATTTCCAGGAACATGGCACTAATTAAAGTTAACACAGGTGTATGATCAAAAGATAACCTTGCTTATTCTTTGCCGCTTGGATGGATTCCAAGGCGAAAACATTTTAATACAAGGAATAATTAACCTGTCACCTGAGAAGCCCTGCTGGTCTGAGGCTCTCCCCAGGCACACACTCACAAAAAGGACAATGAGGTAATCCTCCCTGACCAGCCAGGCTGGACACAGCCCTGCCCAGGCAGACACACCTCCCCCCGTCCCCTCACTCCGTGGGGAAACAGTGATCTTACAGCCCATGAATGGGCTCAGGTTCTGTCTAAAAATTCTTTGTTCTACAAACAAGAAAGCTGTGGCTAGCAGGAAACACTGATGCGTCACCAAGGTGGAAATGGACACCTGTCCTCACTTGGGTCCAGAGCACACTCTCCTTTGCTGAGTCGGTAATCAAATTGGGGAAGACCCAAGTGGTCACCTTTCATGACCAAGATGCCCTCCACTGTTTACGCATGCCTCTAAGGGCTCACTGTGAACGAGTTCCTCGAGTGTCCCCTAGGGGTCTGGAGGGGACAGAGAGGTGCTTCCACACACTGCTACTGGGATCCCAGAGAACTTGGGGTCTACGTGCTCTCATAGTAAGTGGTAGACATTCAGAGTCTTCGTGAGGAAAGGTGGTGAGGTCAGGTGCAGGCACTCGGCTCAGGAGCAGAGGTGATGGGTAGGGCAGCATGGCCCTCAGCCCGGGTCAGTTACAGGCTGCAGCATCTTTACTCCTCCAGCAGAAGGCAGAAGGAGCTGCACTCCAACTGCCCCCAGAAGGTCACGGACACAGTGGCCGAACCCTGTATCCCCAGCGTTCCCACCCATAGTTCTAAGGCAGCTTTTCATTCCACTTCCAATCATAGGCCAATTAAAAGAGTGTTCCTTACTGTGCATGCACACACACACACACACACACTTTAAAACAACTAAAAAAAAAAAAAAACCTGACTGCAAAATCAACTGTTCCTAAGAGAAAGAGATGTAAAGAATCTACAGAATGTGATTTTTACTATAAGGGAAAAGCATCATTTTTCACTTAATTTTCTGGGGAAAAAGAAAGCTGCTGGTTTCGAGGGCACTGTACCTGTTCGTCTTCTAGAAGGATGAGACCTACGACTGCGATGTTGATGTTTCCCCCTATGGTTCCATCCTTGAATAAAGCAGACACCTGGAAGAGCAAATCCACATCAGACCCCGAACAGCCACATGTCCCCTACTGCACGGACACTGCCTGCGTCCCCCAGGGTGAGGGCAATTTTCATGCTCTCATGTTGTCAGACAGGCATAGACACATCAAAAGGCCACTGGTCAGTCCTCACAATGTGCTCCTGGAGGTGAAGGCGTGAGGTGGGGGTTCACCTCCTGTCCAACCCCACTGAAGGGATGGCCAGGCCCTGGGTGGACAAGTGTCCTCCTTAGAACAGAGGGGACTGCTTTACTCATGGTAGTGAGCATGAAGAACAGGGGCACTGCTTTACTCACAGGGATGACCACCTAAGCCAAGCAGGCCCCAGGCTCTCCTGGTGAGGAAGCCCAGGCACACAGAGAACTGGTGAGGAGGAGGGCAGAGGACGGGAGAAAGAGAGGGAACGTGTGAGAAGGCCATGGCAGAACAGAGCAACCTCGAGAGACAACGGAACAGGAAGCAGACGTGAAGGATCAGTGCAGTGTCCCCGGTCAACAGCAGGGACAGTGTGGCCCCAAGACACGGAGGTAGAGGACAACTCCACACCAGGGGCACAGACACCACCCTCACTCGGAGCAGGCTGGTGCTATGGCCCTCCGTGAAGAGCGCCCAGAGCCCTGCCCTGCTGGGCACCTTCTGAACCTTCCCTCAGCCACACGACTCGACCGCCCAAAGTGATGCTAGCAATGAAAATCACAGATCTGTGCAAAGAGACACTTGGGTGCTGCTTACTGATGGTGAAGAACCAGGAATGCATTCAAAATAGTGTCATTGAACTATTTTTGAAAACATTCAAAGATCCTAGACTTTGCCGTCTGGGATCCAGATTTCACTCCCATGCTGTGGGGTCAGCACCCCTTCTCCTTGCTCCTGAAGAATCCCTGCAGCTGCAGGTTAGAGAGGAGGACACTGTGTGAGACGATGTTCTGCCAGGTCATACTGCTTTAGAGTTTTTGTAGTAGATTAAAAACCTCACACTCAACACCTGAACATCAGCACTCCTAGAAAAGTGGGTGCATCTACATTCTCACTTAAAAGCACAGATACTGCTGACATACTCACTGTACTGAACTCCCTGACCCTCCTAGGGAGTCCTATCAGAGGAAGAGCCACCTACCCCAAACACTGCAGGGCAGACGGGCTTGCAGAGGGGTCTGTTCACGTCTCCTCTTTATGACACCCTCTGAAGTTCAGAGAAGGGCTCTTTCAACAGGAACACACTAAAGCAGGGTTGCCACCCACTGAGCGCTTCTTCCCCAGAGACGCCCGCCCAGCTGGACGTCGTACAGGCCGGTGCTGGCGGCCGACCCTACCATGTTGAGGATGGTCAGCACGTAGGTGGTGATGTTCTCCTGCCCGTGGTTCTGCATCATCTTCCTGTCGACCACCACCAAGGTCTCCACGTTCAGTTCTTTATTCCGGTGGGGCTTGAGGAGTGAGCGCCGGCACCGGGGGACAGACTCGTACTCATCGGGAAGGACGAAGAGGTCCTCCGTGGGGAGCTGGGGTGCATCTGTGAAGCAACACAGGGGGAGAAATAAGGCAGCGGTCCCCTCAAGCCCAGATGAACATGGGGAGCGGGGTAGTGACATCACCAAAGCTTTCTGAGCTCTCACCCCTTGCCATCACATTGACGTAACCAAGGTGGGCGCAAGTGCCACCCTGGGCTGGTCTTTGTGGGACCCCTCCAGTCTCTGCAGGAGCCCGTGGGATTCTAGGATGGCACTGCGCAGGCAGAGGGAGTGAAGATGACCCCCTTGGAATCCCTCCTAGAAGCCCTCGGGTCTGGGTGGTGTGGCCCAGAGCCCTTGGTCTTATTTCTACTGCGGAAATGTGGGTTTGGAATAAAAGCAGCTGCAGCCCAGGGCACGGCAGCCGGAGGTCCCTGGTGCTAGACGCTGGGGCAGAAGCATGAGGTGAGGGTCTGACAGGCCAGAGCCCCCACAAGCCCCTCAGAGTAAACCTCTCACCCTCACCAAGGTGCCTATAGTACTGTCTCCTAAACAGGAGTGTCACCTAAGCACCCGCCATCAGCCAACGCCTGAGCCTGAGAAGCAGAAGGTCCACCCGCCTGAGAAGCAGAAGGTCCACCCGCCAACAGGCTCAGGCTCACTGTTGACTTTAAGCAAATCAATCTACCTGAGTCTGCTGTCTCCAAGAGGGACAGAGGGACATAGAAAGCAAGCCTCTGTTTCTGAACCCGAGGCGCAGAGGGAAGAGCCCTCCTAAGTGTGAACTGCCCTGAGGCAGGAGACCAGGACCACCCCAGGGAAGTCCAAAGACAGAAGACTGAACCCACTGACCTAGTTCATCCAGGTTTGGGATTTTCAAGATCGTAGGAATGTGTCCCATGGGTTTTATTTATAGGGTCAGATGGCCTGAGTGGTGCTTATCTGGCTGGTTGGGCCAAGTGACTTTCTTCCTGTTCACCAAGGTCTGCTGAGCACCTGCCCCCGACTCCCCTCTGCTTCAGGGGGTTGGTAGAGCGGCCATCAAACCAGCCACAGGGGAGGCAGGGGTGGGGGAAGCCAGGGTTTTCAGATGCCCTGGGAACCCGGGACAATCAGGGGATGCTCTAGGGACCGCTCAAGGAACGAGGGGGAACTCCAGGAAGGTGCATTCCTGACTTTGTGAGAGGGTTCCACATAACCGTAAATAACAGGTCACCCCTTAAGGAGCCAAGGCAGACAGAGCTGTCCCTAAAACTTTGGTGGTGAGTTGCAGATGATGACACCTTGTGGGTGTGCTGTGTGATGTGGTGAAGCCTGTGAATGCATGCGTAAACAAATTGCCTCAGTAGGAAGCAATGCAGGCCTCAACAAACCCAAACCTTCAAAATACAGAACCCCTGAGCAGAGGGGACAGGGTTCTTCTGAAGATGTCTGGTGGGTTCTGTGCTTCTGAGTGTCACTTTTCTGTCCAGGGAACAGTTTGCTTAAAAGAAAAGAAAAAAGGCTCCGTCTCCCAGGGAGCGGTGCTCCACCCTGATACCCTGAGTTGGCACCTAACAAACTCCAGAACCCTGCTCCAGGGTCGTGATCGCAGATGTAGACGTCATCTTGCAGGTAGGTGTGTCTTGAAGGAAATCAATGTTTTCCATTGGCTTACACAGACATCAAATCTTTACATTCACGGGAAGAACCGCCTTACATACATTTCTTGCGTCTTCCACAGAAGTGCTGCCTGTGCCACAGCCCGAGGTTGTCACTGAGGCCCTGCAGGCCTGGGCTGGCTGGCTCCCCGGTCCTGGTGAGCAGCAGGCCGGTGGGTGCTCGGGGGGCCTGGGGCTCCACTGCTCTCTTGTACAGCACGTGGGAGGCAGGGCCACCCTGCTCAGAGCCCTTCAGCCTCCCTGCCAGGTGTGGAGGGAGAGGTGTCAGGAAGTAGTCGGCCTCCTCGGTCCTTATCATGCCGGCCTAGAAAACCAAGAGCAGGAGGGAGAGCAGGATGAGCCACCGAAGCTGCAGCGGTGACTCCCCAAGCCTCACGTTTCAGAGGGTTCTCTCGGGAACATGCTATTCTCTCCAGGGGAGCATTTGTTGGAAAACCTGGGCCAAGAATGAGAAATGGCAGGGTCCCCGCACACAGCTGAGCCCCTTCATTCAGTATGCATGGAACGGTTCTGTGACCCAGCTCCAGGCACAGACAGAGGGCTCACTACTACCAAAGCTGGCTAATTTAAACCAAAAAGGCTGAGGGAATGCGAGCACAGACTTCCATGCAATATCAGGAAGAGTCCCAGATAGACAGATCAAAATGGAATCCTAATAATTTGAAAACTATGTTCAAATGAATTTTACAACTGGAATCACATGTGACGCTTTCTAGAAAAGTATAACTTAAAAATTAATCAAGAAGAAAGCATGAGAGAATTACTTAGGGAAACTGAAAGATCTTTCTAAGCAAGATATTTAAATTTTCTCCATTAGGAAATGAAAAAACAAAGTGATTCCATGAAAACACTGTTCAGTACAACAGACTGAACAAGGAAACACATCTGAGAGACTATGTTTTCTCCCTTTCAGAGCGATAAGCATCTTAAAGTTTGATGATGGCTGTTGGTGAGAATGAGGACAGACAGACAGACAGGTGTGGGAGCAGCTCAGGAGACCATACCACAGCCGCCCGCCCTATCCGCCTCCAGGATGGACCCTGCGGACACTTTGCAGAAGACGTCTTGCCAGCACTCCCTGCAGAGTAGAAAAGATGGACCATTCACAGGATCCTCACCATGATGAAGTGAGGTTCAGCCCAGAGCTAGAAGGACCTTCGACAACGCCAGTCACACAAGCTCATTGCAGGAGAGCCAGGGATGCCATTTCACAAGGTAAGAACCATCCTTTCATGGCCAGAACACTGAATGAATTAGGTACAGAAGCCAGGCTCTTCCACACGACAGTGCCCCACACAGAAGCCATGCGGACATCCTGCTGGGAGGTTTCTGAGGCCCAGAACTCAGACTCACACAGTGAGAGCAATCAGGCAAGAGGAAGAAACAAAGGGCACCACAACTGGCTGATCAACGCTCTCAGCAAAATTGCAGGAAACAGAATTGATATGCATAGATCAGTAGTGTTCCTCTCCACCAACAGGAGATTTCCTGAAAATCCAAGAGAGCAATCCCACCTACAATAGTTCCCAACACACACCCAGGAATGAATTCAACCAGTGAAGTGAAAGACGTCGGCAATGAAGATTGAAAACACTGATGGAAGTAACTGAGGAGGACAGAAAAAGTGGAAAGACATCCCACATACATGGGTGGAAGAGTCAGGCTTGTTCAGAGTTCATTGCCCACAGAGCCCACTGCGGGTCCAGTGAGATCCCTACCGACCTCCCAACGGCATTCTACACAGAACTAGCAGAAGTCCAAATGTCCGCATAGGACCACAGAAAACCCTGAACAGCCAAGCAACACTAAAGCAGGAAGAACAACATGGGAGGCTCCACACCACCTGCCTCTAACACACTGCAAATCCCAGCCATCATCAGATCAGCAGAGGGGCCTAGCACACACCGATGGGGCCCCTGATGGACAGCCCAGAGGTACACCCGAGCAGCTGCAGCCTTGATCCTCAGCAGAGGTCCCAGGAACACACGCTGGGCCCCGTGATGTGAGAGGCTGTGGAGGTGGTTATCTTCAGGGAGAGTCAAGCAGGAGGCACAAGAGGGGACTCCACTGCTCAAGGTCTAAACGTCTGTGGGTGGCCATACTCTTGAAAAGAGTCGGTGGCAAGGCTGGATGACAGGATGATGGGACTGACTCCAGATGAATTTTTTAAACTCTTAGAAACGTTATTAAGTATGGCTGTCAGTTTATGATAAATCAACTGCCCCAACGGAATGTCGATCCATCATTTAGAACTTGGCAGGACTGAACTTCCACTGATTCTCGTGGTACCCCTGTTTTCCAAGGCCATTTTGATATTGTTTACTCCAGGACACTCATCAGGTTCTAGAAGATCCTGATTTCAGGAGCTGAGTCTGATCCTCACTGTGGGGTTGGGCAGCAGGCATCCTCTGACCTCAGTGCCCACTGAGAGGGGTTCTGGGCTGTCCTGAGGGGGTCGGAGTGCTGGTGTGCTGTTGGGTGTTGGGAGGGGACAACTGAAACTCGGGGGGGAAAGCAGGTGGGTGAGAGGAGATGTGACCAGAGGGAGCCCAGGCTTCTCATGCGTGGGGGACCAAGCTTGGCCATAGTGCGCCTGCGGGTGCAGGAGGGCTGGCAAAGCAACCCGGGGAGCTATCGAGGAACCATCGGCCCTGTGGGGGGTGGACCTCCTGGGGCCCCGGCCGTCCAGCACAGGAGAGGAGAAACACTGTGTGCCCTGGACCAGGCACAGGAGGCGAGGCAGCCCCCAGGCAGGGCTGCAGTGAACCGCTCGGTCACCGTTTCTGCCTCCAGAGCCAGCGACTGAGGGAGGTCAGCTGTAAGCCTGGAGCTGTGCCAAAGAGCCCAGTGTGGGGCTCAGTAACAGCTGAAGCCAGGCGACTTGCCTCTTTCTGCACTTTAAGAACCCGGGAGTGTCTAAACACTTACTGAGGGCTTCTACCTGTCTGCTGCCCAGGTGGGTTGTCCACACTACTGAAGGTAACCCGTGTGAGTACTGAACTGAAAGAGAAGAAACCATGTTTTGCTCAAAGTTTTTTTTTTTTTCTGACATGCCCAGGATTCCATATTTCAAACCATCCCTTAGAACATCATCAGCTCTTAAGGAACCCAGGACAAATATTACTCAGCATCTCCCCTGCAAGATGGCGTGAACTCCTGGAGAAGAGCCAACGGAATGGGACTCCCCAGCCTTTACCATCCAGTTCTAACATTTATTAGCTGTGTGACTTGGGATGACTTGCTCAGACTCTCTGTGCTATTTTGTCATCTTGGAAGTAGATAAAAGGATAGCCACTTGCCATGAGTTTGTGAGACTTAACAATATATTTAAAACACATGACCCATAGAAAACTTTCCAAAAAGGTTTACTGAATTAATGGAAGAATGAGTGTAAAATACCCTACTTTGCCCTGACGCTATCTGATTCTTCCTGGTAATTCAGGTGTCCCTGAGGTTGCTTCAGACCCTCTGAAGGAAGCCCTGAGTATTTCCATACCCAGCATCATGATCACCCCAAGCACAGCTCTGCTTCTCTTTGGACCTTCTGCTCGACTTCTCCACTCTCTCTCACTCCCTCACATACAGCTGTTCCAGGTACAAAGCCAGTTTCTCACCTCCCCTGGCTTAGCTCCTTCCTGGCTGGCCCTGGCTGGAGGACCCAAAGCTCAGGCAAGTGACCTACTTACACTGGCAGAGTTGAATCCCATTAACAAAGAAGCCAAGCATGACACTGCTGTATTAATGATTTATCTGAGTTACAATATTCTATATTAATCATTGCTAGTTTGACTAAGCACCCAGAGTGCAGTCACGTGGACATTTTAGTATTCCTTGGTAAGCAACAGAGTCACCCCACCAGCTGGCTGTGTCCTTAACATGCATTTAAAGGACAGGTGAACACAGGAGATTGATGTCTCCTTCTTGTCAGAGCGTCCCACTGAATCGAGGCCGCTTACTTGGAAACTCATCAGAAACCTCGTGCACAGCTGCAGCGGCCCGCCACCTGGCAGGTGTCTGCGGCTGGATTATTAACCTCCTCGCCACTTTGCAAGGGACTCCCCGGGGCCTGTGTCCCCTGGGCCAGCTCTGTCACTCCTCACTGGGGACTCACCATCCACTCGAAGTGCCTCCATGAGGAAGGAAAGGGCAGGTGTCCCTCCCATCACTGCTGAGCAGAGCTGTTTCTGAGCCCGGAGGCCGATGCTACTGTTTTGCGTTTGTTATTCTTCACGGTTAAAAGTTGTTTTTTGTTAATTGTGCACCCACTGACACATGGATTTAGAGCTTATCTGTTCGTGTCAGCTGAGCCAACCAATAGGCCACACAGAAAGTACCAGGAGAGTGACGACTGCTCGCAGAGCCGGCCTCTCCTGCAATGCGGAGAGCCCTTGCCAAGGAAGCCAGCTACACTGGCGACTTGCCTCTAGTGGCTGCTAGTCACACCTCTCCAGGAGCCTGCCATCTGCCACTGATTCCTCCCAGGCTCCTGCCCCCCTGCCCCACCAGAGGCCTACAATCCACCAGCCATGGGGCCACCACGTCCATTCTGGGATCACCATTTCCTTGGACTCAGAGCCTTGTTCCCCTCGTCCTCTGGACACGCACCTCCCAGAGCTCTGTTTGCGGGTCTTTCCCATATCTCAGTGTGCAATGACACAGTGTGGGGACGCGCTTGCTGTCACAGTGTTCTTGATGGTGGAGCAGCAGGTAGACCCAGGCCTCATGGCAAGCACAGTGGCCCACTGGCCAGAGGTGGCTTCTGAGGCTAATCATGTGGCTTGTGGCTCGTGTCCTAACTCTGCCTTTCGTGGGCATAAGCACCGCGTGTGTGTCTGCGTGTGCTGGTGTCTGGAGACCCTGCTTCTGTGTTTGCAGATGGAGGACAAATTCATGCTCTTTCACTGGGTGATTACAGGTGTAAGGACACACTTCAAAGGTAGCAAAGAGAAGACACCTTAGACTGTCCATCAAGATCACAGGATGGATTTGTAAAGAATGAAAACAGCACGTGGAGCCTGGAGAAGAGAGGAGAAGAGAGGAGAAGGGGGGGGAGGGGAAGGGAGGGGAGGAGGGAGGGAGCCACATGAAGAAAGGAGAAGAGAGGAGAGGAGAAGGGGGGGAGGGGAAGGGAGGAGAGGAGCTGGGAGGGGGGGCTGATGCCACTGGGGGCTTTCTGGGGAGGTGAAGAGAGGAGAGGAGAGAAGAGGAGGGGAGGGGAGTGGAGTGGGGAGGGGAGAGGAGGGGACAGGAGAGGAGAGGAGTGGAGTGGAGTGGGGAGGGGCCTGTGCAGAGTGCGCTACAGGC